CACACACACACACACACACACACACACACACACACGTGCACAAGCACAGCTCTGAGACAGTATGTATTCCCAAACAACTAATCCCTCGGTCTGTGAATGTCCCCACAGTGCCTACCAGCACCATGCCTTCCAAGCTGAGTGACCAGACTGGGTGGAGTTCCTTGCACAGAGCTGGGGGTACTCTAAGAGACTCCCCAGAAGGCCCCAGGTGGAGGCGGTGCATGCCAGCAGGAACCTTGTCTCCCAGGGGCACAAGGAGGGCAGCAGATTTGTGCAGAAGACCCAACTCGGAGTCTGACAGCACTTGTTCCCAAGGCCCAGTGTTTTTTATTATTCCGTGATCAAGAACTGGGGGGGGGGGGGTGTCACCGTGCCTCTGCCTTGCAGCGTCCGGGAGCTCACAGCTCAACTTCAGTTCCCCTGTGCTCGTCTGATTATAGGAGCCAGAAACTCAGATACTTTGTAATGGACCGTGCAGTTTAAGAGTCACTTTGAGCTGGAGACAAACTGCTGGGCCACCTGGGCAGGGCAGCCCAGTGTGGCAGTGGTTGGGGCCCTAACCAACATGAGAAGCAATGAATGGGGATGGAAGCCCAAGGAACGCCTTCCATCTGCACCGCCCGCCAGGGAGATGTAGGAACTACAGAGAGAAACGAAGCCAGGGCCCCAAAGGCAAACTCTTCAATGACAGGATATTTGAAGAGACTGGAGTGGTCAAAATAGAGAAAAAGATGTACACAAGATGAGATGCGTTCTTTTGGGCACCCTCTGACCTGAAGTATGCGAAGTATGTTTCAAGCGTCAGAATCTACTTTTCCGGAAGGCCACACATCTGACATTAGCGGCATCGAGACAGACAGACGGTACAGAAGAAATGTCATTTCGATTAGGGCCCCACCACACTTTGCTGGCTTCTGTCACGGATAATGATGAAACTAAATTTAACACTGCCTGGCACAAGGCTTTGAGTTATGAGCTGGCACTTCCTTGTCACTTCACTTGACCCTCCAAGTGTGTAGTTTGTAGGAGATTTGTTAATGGCACTGAGAGGTCCCTGGGGAGGACCGCACACTTCAGCCTACTGCACCCCTCCATGGGCCATAAGTCAGGGTGGACCCCACTCTGCTGCCCCTGTGCAGGGACCTGCCTTCATGGTCCTTTGGGGTTATGCAGCCTTCACGCACACGGTCTTGTCTTTGGATGCTAAGTGACAGCAGTGGTGACAGTTGAGACGGTGGGAGGGCTCCTGGTTCACTGGCCAGGTCAGGCCCTGGCCGGGGGTTTTGGTACCAGTCAACACGGGGTCGGCCCAACAACTTGCTGACAGGTTACACGTCCCTACAGAAGATCGGGAAGTGACTTGCCTAAGGTCACACAGCTAATAGGCAGAAAGCTGCCATTGGAACCCAGCAGAAGCCTAGACACAAAGCAAACTACCCCCACCCCACCCCGTACCCAGAGGGGTTTTAAACACAGGACTCCAGCCTCCAGCTCCCGTGTGGCTGCAGGGTCACCACGCTGTCCATAAAGCCTCCCTGACAGCGGCTCCCAGGCTCGGGCACCCAGTAGCCTACTCTCCAGGAGCCGCGGACACCAAGGGAGCACCGGTCCCCAAAACACCAGGCCATGAGCCTGTCACCCAAAGAGCCACCGCCGCCCTGGCGCGCCTTCAGGGTCCGGAGCCCGCGCCGCCCGTCCAGGGCAGAGGGTCACAGGCCCCCGAGAGCTCGGTGGGCACGAAAGCAGCGCGTGGCGCCCGACAGGGGCTCCCACTCCCGTCCGGCCGGACAGGTGTCCGCGCCGGGCCGCCCCGCCCGGTGTGCTGCCCTCGGCGCGCCGGGCCTGGTGGGCGCCCGCGCGGGCCACCTGGTTGTCCCCGCCGAGGCGACTCTCCATAGGGTGCCTCGACCGCCCCACGACCGCGCGGGCCGAGCGTCCGGACCCCTGCCCCGGCGCCCCCTCGCGCCCTGCCCGCCGGAGCCAGGAAAGTTTTGGGCGCGCGAGCCCGGCGCACTCACCTGGCCCAGGTTGAGGTAGCCGTGCGCCGCGGCCACGCGGTCCGCCGCGGCCGGGCCGCCCAGCACTTGCACTGCCCAGTGGTTGGTGTAGACGGCGCGCGGCGGCGGCGCGGAGCAGGNGCGCCCATCTATGTATATATATTATGAATCAGGACACTACAGATAAACCTTGACATTCCTCTCCCTAGTCTGTCCCCTCCCTCCCTTCCCAGAGGCTACTGCTAACTAGAATTTGATATGATCCTTCCTACATGTGTAAGCTTTCACTGCTTAGGGTGGTTTTACAAGTTTACACGTATCCTGTCACATCATATATCTGCTCTGTGCTCTTCGTGTAACATTATTTTTGAGACATATGCAGGTACATATCTGGTTAATTCCTTCTGAGCTACCGTATGGTATTCCACGGTGTGACTTATTTCTCCATTCTCCTATGGATGGGTACTTAGATCGTGTTTCCCTTCATTTCAGAATTGCCTGTGGACCTTCCTAGGCAAGTCTCCTTGGGCACCTATGCAAGAGTTCCTCCCCAGCAGAAGCCTAGATGTGGACTGGCTGACGCAACCCGACCCCGCAGTGGACTGCCAAATTGCTCTCCAAAGTCGGGACACTGATCTCCACGTCCACCAACAGCATTTGAACGATCCCATGGCTCTGTGTCTTTGCCAACGCTTGACTAACACTTTTCCACATTGGCCAATCTGACAGGTGTGAAATGGCATGACTGTTTTAAGCTGCATTCCCGTAACCCCAGGGAGGCTGGACAGGGCGTCCTGTCTCATGTTTACTGGCCACTTGGGTTTCTTCTTCATTCAAGTCTCTGTTTGTGTAATTCCCCATTTTTCTACCTGGCATTTATCTTTTTCTGACTGATAAATGATCTTGATAACTGATGCATTTTTGATTTATAGCTTTTAAAATAATCTATGCACGCATCTGTTTGTTATATTAACATTTTTCTAGTCTGTGACTTCCTTTTTAACCCTGTCGTGATGTCTTTGGTGTACAGAACTTTCAATGTGTCAATCTCTGCCTTTTTTCATTTGTTCTTTTTGTGTCTTAAGAAATCCTTTCCTTTCCTGATGTCATAAAGGTATTCTACTCTAGTTATTTCTAAAAGTGTTACATACACTTGGGTCTTTCATCCTATCATGAATTTACTATCATGAAGTGAGGTGAGGATCTGACTGTTTTCCTTGTAGGCAGTCAGTTCTCAGCACCATTTACTGGATTGCTCACCTTCCCCACCTGTCTGTAACTTCTCTGCTCACACGCACACGTTATCACAGAAGCCTGGATGGAAGGGACCATTACTGGGCCGGGTCAAACTACTGGGCTCCCCACAGCTTCATGGCAAGTTTCACTCTCTGGAAGAATTCCCATCCCCTTCCCCTCCTCAGAGTTGTCTCAGCTATTCTGGGACCTTCCTCTCTCATGTGAACTTCAGAATTCATTTGTGTGTTTCCATCTTCCATATAAAATCCTTTTAGCACTTCAGCTAGATTGCACTGAATTTACAGATTAATTCGGGAGGGAGGGAGCGGGGGGGAACCTGTGACAGTCAGTCCTCCCATCCATGACCATAATCTCTCTCTCCACTATTCAGCCCTTCTTGTCAACACTTCTTTAAATATTTTCCAATTTCCTCCCTGCAAGTCCCACTTTATTTTTAGTTTTATTCCTGAGTCTCTACTAGCTTTTATGCTAGAGTGAATTATAATTTCTTGTATCTTTTNTGCTTGAATCTCCACAGTGGATTTAGAGCTTCCAAAAATCCACTTGAAGCTTTTTATACACTGCTCACTATTTATAGTCAAAACACTCCCAAATCCCCAACCCAGCCCAAACCGTTCCCGCCGTTTTCTCTCCACCCAAACTCACTGGTGGCAGAGAATCAGCTGCAGGATCCGTGGCCCCAACAAACCCCTCACTCTTTTCCCCCCAAGAACCAGACCCAGGAGTGCCTCTGCCCTCTGCAGACTCTGCCACCTGAACCTGGCTGCCTGCCATCCAGTCCCGGCCCGCCCACTGGTCGGAACTCCCGCCATCCGATACTGCCGTTTTCAAAAAGTTGAAAATTTGGTAACCAAAGAACATTTCTGTGGCTCCGCGATTTTGTGTCTGGCTCTCTTCATCTGCACCTGGGCCAAGTCCCGTAAATTTTCCCTTGCTCCTTCTGAGTCCTCCCTCCCTCCATCCTGCAAAGTTGATCTTTCATTAGAAATCAGCCAAAGAAAGCATCCATCGTGCTCCCTTCTGAGCAGGCAGTCTTCACGGGTCACAGGGGGTCAGCGTTGATAAGAAGAAAACCAATTCAGTCTTCCCCCCTGGGGACCCTTCTCACTCACGGCCGAGAAGCTGTGCCTCTGGGGTCGAAGCTCATGGAGAACTTGCCACATGCAGCATGCAGCACGCCACAAGACAGTGTGACAGGAATGGGCAGGGGACAGTCCAAGCGGAGCAGGGCTGCTCAGGCAGGACTGTGATGCCACTCAGCCCTGTGGTCAGAGCAGGGTCTGGAACTCACCACCTGGGTTCTCCTTCCAGCTCTGCCACTGCCTTGCTGTGTGACCTCACGCAAGTCAGTCAACCTCTCTGAGCCTCGGCTTTTCCCACGGAGCATAAAATGGGCACACTATTTGAGTTCACCTCACATGAGTCCTGTACATAAGTGCTCTGACTTGTGCCTTATATTCAAGCAGCAGGATGTAAGGGCCATTATTATGAGACTGGGGGTTTGGCGATATCTGATTGTTACTTGTAAACACAGATGGTGTTAGAAGAGTATGTGTGTGCGCGCAGCTGTGTTAGCACAGATGTGCTGTGGGCTGGCCAGCCCCCGGGGCCACCCTGCATCTCCCCCAAGAGACCCCTCCACATCCCAGACACAGAAGGAGCACACAGCCCCGGGCGTCAGCCCCTTCTTGACATGTGCCCGGTTAGGAGGGACGCAGGCCAGGGAGGAAGGAGACACGGGCGGCTGAGGAAGAGAAACATTGAGGCCTCTGGAAGGCTTTTGTGTATACGTGTCTCACTGTGACTATAATTAGTGGGGTGATCACATTGTAAGGTTAAAGGTCAAATCACTATATTGTACACTTGAAATTAACATCACTCAAATAATATTGTATACCAACTATACTTAAATTCACAAACAAATAAATAAAATCATGCTGTGCAGCGTTATTATTTCTCCTGTTTCACAGATAAAAAAGATGAGGCTCAGAGGGAGGCAGGGTCTGGCCTGAAGCCTCTGACCTCCTTCACGTTCAAGGTGCCAGTAGGGGTGGAGGGGGCAGATCTGAAGGCACAAGACAAAAGGTGGAGGGAGGAAGCTGAGAAACACCCAGGGGACCTCGGCTCTTCCTGCCAGATAGTGGGAGATGCCTGGATGACCATCAAGGCAGGAGAGGCCGAGAGGCCGTGAGGGGAGTGGAACTCTCCACCAGTGTACCCACCGGTCAGTAGAAATGGGACAGGCCTGGGGGAGTGGCTGGTCATCTGCGACCCTCTGTGGCATCCCCATCCCAGGGCTGTGCTCCTGGGGCACTTCGAGTCCCTCTAGAACTGCTCCCTGGGGACCAGCAGGCCTCATGGTCGCCCCCTAGAGGACACAGAGGAGGGAGAAGCCGTGCCTGGACCTGCCAGCCCAGGGAGGCCCTGAGTGACGCCAGGGCTTCCCAGCTGGGAAGGACCTAGGTGGGTTTCCAACCCAGGAGCTGCCCTGACTCTGTCTCTGTCACTACCCAGACCCCGCATCGGGTGAACTCAAGAAAGCGAGTCCCTTGGGTGGTGGCAAAAGTGGTCCTTTGGGATGGAACCTTCTTCCAGAAGCAGCGATGTGGCCACCGCTGGGGACATGTGTTATCTGTGGGCCTGGGGCTAAATGTTCTCATGGACAGTTGGAGGAGTTGCTGGTAGGGCTGCAAAATAAATACTAGCTGCCCAGTTAAATGTGAATTTCAGATAAACAATGAAAACAAACTTTCAGTATAAGTATATCCCACACGATACTTGGGATATACTAACAACATGATTTGTTATTTATCGGAAACTCACACTTACCTAGCTTGTCCTGTTTTATTTGCTAAATCTGGGAACCCTAGATGGGGTTCAAATACTCAGGCTGGAATGGGGAGGGCAATGGATTCCTAGCAGTTTTTTAAAAAAGTGTCAAGCTAAGGATTTGGTTTAAAAATTGAGAACACCTCTCTGGAATCAAACCATTAAAAGCATCTTACTTCCATCCTTTAGGACACCTCCCTGCTGAAGGACAAGTCGCTCTGTCCCTGGAAGGTCTGGAAACACCTTTCTGCCCCCGATGTCTGTTTAGATGTCAGGGCTACCTCTGCCAGTGGCATCTGGAAATTGAGTTATACCTTTTTAGAAAAGAAAGAGAAAAAAAAATCTCTCTGGGGCGGCATTCAGATGGGCATGAGGTCTGCCATCAAATATGAATATTCTCTTAAAGATAAGAATTATGGTGTACTTAAAGAGGAGCATGTATGTCAGCACTGGTGATAAGACAATTTATTACTGGCCACAGAAAGAAGTCTCTAGTGATGAGGTGGAAGAGGCTCCGCGGGCTGTGAATTATGGGCCATTCTCTCGCTGCAAGAATAAATCCTCCTGTCAGTTACCGTGCTGTCCCCTTGACAGGCCAGCTGGCAGCAGGGAGTGGGCGGGCCGGAGTCATGTGTCCATCACCCGACAGTACCGCCCACGCCGCGTCCGGGCTCGCCCCACACCGACATGTGCACCCTTGCATGGACTCTAATCACATCTTCGGGACACACGTCCTTTCTGACATGAAAAAAAATATATTAACAACAGGCAAAGAGGGGTTAAAAAAAAAAAAAGCAGAGTTCACCAGAAAAGGCCCCGGATCAGAGATCGAGGGGCCTCGATGGGGCTCTCTGCTTTGAAGGACACACCCTTGGCCGCTCTGAGATGGGCTTTCCTGGCTGGAAAATGAAGGAGCTGGCCTATGAGGGTTGCCAGCAGGTAGGACTGGTCTCACATGTGGTGTGCTGCCTGCGAGGCGGTGACCCTTCTGAGCTGGAAGGGGTTCAAGAAGGGCTGGGGGCACCTGGTGCAGACATGGAGGGGCTGCCT